TGTCCCCTGTGCCTGCCCAGGCCCAAGCCGCCTGTGGTGTCAAACCCTCCTTGCCCAGGCGCGGAGTGACTCTGTTTTGCAGCTCTCTGTGTTTTCTTGCCTTCTGAAGTCGTGTCCGTTTTAGCATCTGTACCAGCTTGCAGCAAGGGGTTCCACAGCTTATTTAACCGTTCTGTGAGTCGTGACCTCCCTTGGCTTGCTTTGAAACTGCCTTCTAGTCGTGCACTTGATGTCAGTAGTTCTTGTTTTAGCACAGGCGGTGCAGGGTAGATCCTCACCCACCCCACAGGCCACTGACGTTTTTATAGTCCTCTGCGATATCCCCTGTCAGCCATCAGGCAGCTGAGTCCTCTGCTGGTCTGTGCCTTTCATCGTCCATCTCCTGCCTCTGTAGCTTCCTCAGCTCTATTAGAGTTCCTCTGAGATGGGGGATCCATCCTCCCCCCTGCACACAGTCGGGATGTGGGGTTTGAGCAGCAAGGCACAATTACATCCTCTTCTGTTCTCTGTTTGTGTCCCCAGCAATCGCTGACATTTGACTGGCTGTTTTGTCTGCCTAGGAGCTGCTGTTTTCAGCCCTCTGCTCTAACTCCAAGGTGCTATTCCTGAATGATACCAAGAACATCCTAGGCCCATCCTGGTGTAAGTGCAAGGTATAGAAGCTGTTACCCTCCACAGTTCTTTATGTTTTCCTGCAGTAAATTGTCTTCTGTCATCTGGCACCTTATTGAGGATCATTCATCCCACAGCAGCTTAGTTTCTTTCTCTGTTTTGGTGAAGGACAAATGTCTTTCGGGGGTGCCTTTGGACTCCAGATCTCCCTTTTGCTAAAAATTGCTGACACCTCCGAGGAGCTCTAAGTGGTTTGTGAAGTGACACATGTCTTTCCAATGGCCGTGCCAGCTGTTCCCCAGTCTGCCATTTTTGGCCATATGTTCATTAATTCTTTTACTCTGAGTTCTGTTCTTTTGTTTGGAATGTTGGGCCTGAGATCTCCCCTCAAGCCCAGTCTCTTACATCACATCAGCCACTTTCCGGTCCCCTGACAGGGAGGACAGGCGTTAGCAGGGTTGTGGGGTCATGTGAACAGCCCTACTGGCTTAGACCAAAAGTTTGTGTAGCTCCAAGCCCTGTCTGAGGGATTTGGGGACTGGCATGAAGGGGGTGCCAGGGAAGGAGATAGGATAAGCATGAAATGGTACCACCACAGCAGTCTACCATCATCCAGCAACCTGAGGCTTAGTCATGATGAAGGTGTGTTATTTTTTATACTTCTGTGGTTTTTTTAATAGTTCTCACAAGTTTCTCTTTTGTGAACTCTTGAATCTGGTGCCGGAGAACTTTGCTGTATCCTCCTGGTGCTGTGAGGCAGGCCAGTGCATCAGCCAAAACTCATTCTCCTGCTGGCTTCTCCTGAGAAAGAAAGATCTGAGGGTACATTTAAGGTGGTACTAGGTTCTCTCCCAATATGTACGCTTACTCTGCTTCCCTGGAGCTTGCCTCGTTGCAGTGACAGTCTTGGTCCTATTGGAGGTCTTACCATCAACCCAAATTGGTATGGGCTGAGGAAGGACCACATTCTTCCTGTCTCTCTTGCTTATTACTTTTTGCCAGTTCAGCCTTGTGCTTCCAGTATTAATTCCTCAACCTTGGGAACTTACTCTCCTTCCACTTAAAATAATCTCCAGTGAGTTCCTGTCACGATTTTGATCAGACTTGTTACAGACAACTTGTCCCAGATGCCAGTGAAGGTATCTAGTAACTCAAAAGTTACAAAAATGGATGTAGAAGTTGAGAGCAGCTTGGAACTCCTTGCCTTCCCCAAAAAGTACAGAACACCATAGGAGACTTGGTTCTCTTGTACTTTTAAGTATTTTCAAGTTCTACGTAAAGAACCAAAATTCTGTGTAAGTACCAAAGCTTAGCACAGGTGGATGATATCTCTTTGAGCACAACAGCAACAGAACGACTTCACTAGCTCCATCATCTACTCAGTAAGTCTGACATACAGGTCAAGAGCTTCGTGCTGGCCTACCAGAAATCTCCTCTTCTTGTCCTGTCCTTGGATATCATCTTTCTCTTTTCCTCAAGGCGTGGATGGAGTTCCTGCAGATAAATGGAAATGCCTTCATGGTGAGTAGCGAAGTTCCAGTTCTCTCAAGGGGTGATTTTAGTGAAAACTATACGAGGGGAGAAGTGGCATCACTAGCGCACCAAACTGCCATAAAAGGTGTTTCGGGAGTTCTCCATGAAATCACATCATGAAGTTTTCTTATACCGACTAGAAAGAAGATTAAATGCGTACATGGATCAGTCTGGGTTCAAATTCTAGACTCTCCTTTTTTTGTGTACTTACAGTTCAGTAGTGACTCTCCTCTTCCAAGGCACATACACTTCCTTATCGCGACCGTGCCAGACCACAGGAACTGCCTGTGGTTTGTACATCAATCCCACCCCACTGCTGTGTTACCACTGTATTTCACAAGAATTTTCAGAAAAGCAGGAGGAGTCTTTTAAGTAGGCAAATCTGAAGGTCTGCGTGTTTGCGGTTTTAGTCCTCAGCTTGTTCTGTACTTTGGATCTACACGCAGTCAACAGCAAGTTGTCCTTCACCCCTGGGAGTGTGTAGAAAGAGATCATCCGGAAATCTCTTTCCCCGATTGACCTGTCTTAAACCTGGATGCGATGCCTCTCTTCAGAGATGCCTCTTGCCATCTCTGCATCCTATGTACATCTCTCTGATGTCCACCTGCCCTTCCCTGACAGCAGAAGGGTGCGTGCTCCTGTCTTGCTGGTTTAGCTTATAAGCCCTCTAATCCTGTGAAGAGCCACATTTCCCAACTGACAACAGAAGCCGCGGCAGTGCTGGGGGTACCTGTGAGGGCGCGAGTTATGGAGGGGCTTTCAGCTGACCTTGAATCTGCGCGGCATCGATTCGTACCAGTTATGCTTCTGCAGGACTTTATGTGAACCAGAGGGCAGAGGTTTGTTCATTGTGTCCCAGGAGCCTTCATAGCTGTTCAGCTAGCATTGCTTCACTGACTCCTGCTACCTTCATCTACGTTTATCAGATATCCTCAACGCATAATTGGGGATCGGCCGGGGAGGATCTTCAGTTGACCAGCCACCATTCCCCAGGAGATTTGTTCTGCAGCAGTGGAAGCGTGAAGTTACCTTTCTTCTGCTCTAAGACTGGCGTAAGCTGGGCTCCCAGCGGTCTCCGTGCCTCATGCCTTAGGGCGAGGGTCTCCTTTGTGCATCTCCTCCCTCTCTGCAGCACTAGCAGCATGAGAGCATGGAGGCTGCATCTGTCGCAACCCACGTAATGTTCTGCTGAACAAGGCGGTTCTTTATGGCCCTCTGAGGCCCAACGCAACTTTTAATAACATTTTCTGGCATAATGTCCTGGAAGAGCAGCCATCTTTCTCATTCGACACCAGTTACCTTACCTCTAATATGCCAATATTAGATTATACCAGTTTCAGTAGATTCCAGTTCTGGCAAAGCATGCAGGGCTATTTCCAGGGTTTGTTCCTGTGACACTCTGAAAAATCCACTGTATGTTTTGGGGGGAAATACCAAAACTTTTGACTTGAAGGCAATCTGCTGATTTTTTTAGAATTTGGCCCCTTTTGATTTCCCCTCTCCAAAGTTTCCTCTTCTGCCTGTGACTTCTCTCTGAATTCTTGTTTTATTGCAGCTGAAGACGGGTTTGCAAGCAAGAGACAGGAAAATACCCATGAAGGCATCCCTGGGCCAGTGGAGTCCAAGGGTTTACTCTTGGGACTCTCCAAGGAGAACAGCTCCCAGAGCTCTGCAGAGGACCCAGTCCTGCCACGCAGGTCAGAAAGGGTTCAGAGACCTCTGGGGAAGAGGCAAAGCCAAGTGATGCTTTGTGGAAAAAGTTTTAGGAGGCTGCCAGATATTATCCAGCAGAGAAATCCTCCTGTGGGGAGATTGATGATATGTGGGGACTGCGGGAAGAGCTTTCGCGTGAGCTCCAACCTCGTCCAGCATCGGAGAATCCACACCGGAGAGAAACCCTTCACCTGCACCGAGTGCGGGGAGAGTTTCCGGCAGCGGTCACATCTCATCCAGCACCAGAGAATCCACACAGGGGAGAGGCCCTACGAATGCTCCGAGTGCGGAAAGAGCTTCAGCATGAGCTCAAAGCTGATCCGGCACCAGGTAACCCACACCGGGGAGAAACCCTACAAGTGTGCTGAGTGCGGGAAGAGCTTCTCTGGGAACTCACAGCTCGTCCAGCACCAGCGAGTGCACACTGGGGAGAAACCCTATGAGTGCAGCGACTGCGGGAAGAGCTTCAGCGTGAGCTCAGCCCTGACACGACACCACCGGGTCCACACCGGGGAGAAACCCTACGAGTGTGTGGAGTGTGGGAAGAGCTTTATAAAGCACCAGCGGGTCCACACCGGAGAGAAGCCGTACGAATGCTCCGAGTGTGGGAAGAGCTTCACTGTGAGTTCAGCCCTCATCCAACACCGGCGGTTCCACATGGGCGAGCGCCCGTACGGGTGTGCTGAGTGTGGAAAGAGCTTCACCGTGAGCTCCC